AATAATAATAATAATAATAATAATAATAATAATAAAAATTCGACCCAGTGGTGCAGATGGTTGCGGCAGCCGTCGTCTGCGCCGAGGAGGCTGCAGGTTCGAGTCCTGCGTAGACATGGTCGTATTTTGACTGTCCCTTCACTCCCCCCCCTCGTCGTCCTATCATCTCACAGTTAACACTTCAAGGCATAACAACCTTGTACAGAGGGATGAAGCTGAAAAACTGATTCGGGGAAAATGTAGTAATGGCCGATAATAATAATTCAAGCATTTCATTCAGTGCCTAGAGATCATTATAATTTCTGAGATTTATAAGATTCATCTTGAAGGATACGTGCGTGGTGTTCTCGACTCATATTTTAATTTTATTTGTAATTTACTTAATGTAATAGTACTTATCATTTCAATTACTTATAATTTGCTATTGCAAATAATTTTTATTAAATGTACGATAATTTGACATTCACTTTTCAGCTATCTGGCCACTTGGTTATGAAGGTCGCGATACGGTGTGAAGTTCACAAATAATCTCTCATTGTCACGCGGTGTTTCTTAAAGAGTGTTTCGTGTTAAAAATAGCGCTATCGACAACTAGGACATAGTGGATGTAAATATTGGATTTAAATTTTAGATTTCTGGTGTTAATATATGAAAAAATTAAAAGAGCTTGGATGCTGTCTTTCGAATCTTAAAAGGAAATATTACTGCTAATATTATGTAATAATTAACTGTATTTTAAATTGCACTGATATAAGGGGTCTTTAAAAACTGTTCAAATGGTAGTAGAAGTGACAGAAATGTTCATTTTACAATATTACGTAACCACAATATCGCGAGAAAGTACGTGCAGTTGGAGCACCACTAATTTTTAATTTCCCATATACGTACGTATATACGAAATAATATAAAGAGTATAGTGAAAGTTATGTAATGTAACGGATAATCGACTTCGAGATTTCGACGGAAATACACGTGTTGGGGTCCCCTGATACCGAAAGAGTGTTTTTTTTGTTTTGTTTTTTTTCGAAACGTCCGTCCGATCGTCCGTTAGTCTGTCTGTCTGTACGTCCGTCTGGTGTCTGTGAACACTACTAGCGCCTAACTCATGCGTAGGATTTTTTCCAAATTGAAGAAACCTGTGTCGATCTGGCTCGAGTCGAATCTCTGAGATTTTGAAAATTATTCTTTAAAATTTGGGAGTACTTTACATGAAGGGCTCCCAGACATTATCAACATTTTCTCAAAACGTACCCGATTTTTTTTCTTTAAACGTTTGGTAGGGATAGTGCCAAGTGTAGTTTATAAAATGGCATAAACGCCATATTGCTCTATTCTTTGGTTTTTCCAAAATTACAAAATAGGTATTTTTTGATTTACCACTTATGTCGTTAATATTTATACTAGCGACAATTTGTTCACATCATTGAATTTATGAGTTCACGTGGTTTAGATAATGTCTTATAAAGTTTCTCGAAAACTATACCAACTATATATGAAAACTAGCTCAAAATACCGCATTTTCAGAAAACGGCTCCAATTGTTCCTTCAAACGTTTCGAACGAAGAGTGGTAATTGCACTCTTTATTATGACGTAAAGTTAATTTCGGAGTATTTTTCTCTCTCAAAAATTACACAAATGTAAATTATTTGAAAGATCTCTCACGCCGTTGATATGGACATTTCCAGCAATTTGTAAACAATATTGTATTTGTGAGTTAATGTACTTTAATTAACTTCAGACTTCAAGTTTTTCGAAAACTCATAAATTTTCTGGGAAAAAGAGCTTTAAATTTTGAATTCACAGTAACGCTTGTACGCCAGTTTGTGACATTCTGTAGCACCACTTGTTACTTTCTCTTATACGTCCGTATATACAAAGGTAGTGTATACGTAGTACGGAGAAAATTATGTAATGCTGCGGAAAATCAATTTCGATATTTCAACGGAAATACACGAATTTGGGGTCCCCTGACACTGAAAAAGTGGTTCTTTTCAACACGTCTGCCTGTCTGTCTGTGAACACTACTAGCTCCTAAACCATGCGTAAGACTTTTTCCAAACTGAAGAAACCCATGTCCATGTGGCTCCAGCCAAAGATTTGATATTTTGAGAACATACTTTAAAATTTGGGGGTACTTTTCATAAATCTCTCTGGACAATTTCAAAATTTCCTCAAAACTGGCTCCAAATTAAAAAAAATCCTTTAAAAATGGAGTAACATACTCTTATAAAAGTGGTAGAGGTCCGATTTTCATGGTTAACTGAATTTTTGAAAAAATTCAAAGGTATTAATTTTGTAGGTATCTTTCCATAACTACAAAATTAAAGATAGAAATTTATCATTCAAATGAAATTTGTTGTATATAATTAGTTCTTTTATTAAGGTCATGTGCATTTTGATGATTTGAATATTAATATTTTTCACGTAATATTGTGTGCTCTCTTTGCAATTTTAAAAATAACAAAAATTATATTTTCTCAAAACTATTAAAAATTTTTTCGTTTACGATTTTGTATATTATTTTCTTTTTCAAAAATTACTAACATGTAATTTATTTGACTTGTCTCTCACATTAATATTTTCACTAGCGGCGATTTGTTCACTTTAAACACTGATGAGTACATGTGCTTTAGTAATGTCATATAATGCAAGGTCTATCCCAAAAGTAATTTGAATAAGTCCAAGAAAAGCGATTTATTGCAGATAAATATACAAGTAACTAAAATTCTTCAAAGTAGCATCCTTCCGCGTCGGAACACCTGCGCCAGCGTTTTTCCCAGTCGCTGAACGCACCTTGGAAGGCGTCGATCCTTCAAGCACCTCGTCGTCTGCTTCTTTGACGGCTTCAAAGTCCGAAATGGTGCCTGATTCTTCCTATCCTCCGGAACAAAAAGAAGCTTCACCGTTGGTGCCAAGTCGGGGACGTTTATGCGGCTCGGGGCAATGTTCTCACACGCGTTCGCTAATTACCTCTATAATGAAGCGTGTTTGCGACGCGCGCGTTGTGATGTGAAGACGCCAAGTGCTGGCGATCTCCTTCCTGACGCGTTTCACTCTGCTTTGGAGCCTTTTCAGAACTTGCAAGTAAAAATGACTGTTCACTGTTTGTACGTGTGGCACAAACTCTGAGTGGACAATGCCTCTTTTGTCGAAAAACACGATGAGCGTGACCTTTACTCGGGACTTCCTCATTCTCGCCTTTTTTGGGCGCGGGGAAACTGGTGTGTGCCACTCAGCACTTTGTCTTGTGGTCTCCGAGTCATACTCGAAAACCCATGTTTCGTCACCCGT